CCTTTGCTGAGGTTTGTCAGTGTCTTAGATCTTTCTCGGTTGAAATTTCCAAGGAGATCTTCAGCCTGCCGTAGTCCTGGAAGTCTTCTCCATCGTCTGGCTCTCCAGGCTCCTTCCGCCTTCTTAAGTTCTCCTTGGAAATAGGAATTACCAAGGCCGCAGAATGGCTCTGGTCCGATCAGTGGCGTTGAAGCCCCTTGTCGTGCCAGAGCGTCTGCTTGTTCATTCCCCTCCACTCCGATATGCCCTGGCACCCAGAGGAGGATAACTTTATTGTTGCTGCCTAGCTCATTCAATTTGCTTAGGCATTCCCATACCATCTTCAGGTTGATGTAGGGAGAGCTCAACGCTTTGATGGCTGCTTGGCTATCGGATAAAATCGTGATGTCCTTCTTCCGGTATTTCCTGTCTAGGTTGAACTGGATGCATCTTCCTATGGCGTGTATTTCCGCTTGAAAAATGCTGGGGAATTGTCCCATGGATTCGAAGTATTTGGTGCGAGGCCCAAAGACTCCTGCTCCAGTTCCCTCGGGTGTTTTAGACCCGTCCGTATACCAAGTAATGGTGTTCCTTCCCAGTGATTCGATGGATTCTGTGCTCCATTCGCGCTTGTTGCTCAGCTCCACTCGGAAGTTCTTCTCAAAACTGAACTTCCTAATGATTTGGTCTGGTGTGCGATCTCAGTGGGGGGTGAGCCCCTTACACTGTGCGTTTTCCCTCTTAGTCCGACCTTGGCTAACCTGAGATGTGCTCCATAGGCAGTTTTCCTCACCACGATGTGTAGAGGTGTGAGATCCAAAATGACCTCTAGTGCTACTGTTGGAGCTGATCTCATTGCTCCTGTTATGCAAAGACATGCCAGTCACTGCACCTTCTCTAATATTTTCCTTGTAGTGGCGAGTTCGGTTCTGCCGTGCCACACTACTGCTCCGTAGGTGATCATTGGTCTCACTAGCATGGTGTACATCCAATGAATGAATGATTGCCTCATCATCGATTCGGGTACTATTTATATTCGGAATCGATGCTAGGTTCGCAATTTTCCACACTGGGAACGGTATTATTGCCGCGGTTAGCGATTTCTTTGCAAATTATAAAGGAAATGATGTCTGTGAACTCCGCTAGCCTAATCGAACTACAATGTACTGAATGTTTTAATTTGGAAAAGTTAATACATGATAAGAGATCTTGAAACGAACGAGAGTTTGAGTGGTGTAGATTCCTAGGCATATATACTTTTTGACACTATTCAGTCTACGTGGGTATTTCATTCAGAAGGAGTATTTCATATCGTTCTCTTTCTCCATCCAGACTTAGTGGCGGGACCTTCATCAAAACTATACAGGGTTGTTCACGATGCGCGTTAATTAGACGTTTATGGTAAACCAGGCCAAATATTCTGAGGCGAAAATATTTATTATTGATCAAGACTGCTTTCATGTCGCTATCTTAACTTTGTATTCACTATCTACTATGACATTTAATCGAAACAAATACAGGATGGTTTATATTTCAGAATACTGACCCACCCTGTATCTATTTCAATTGAATATCAATTGATAATAAATGGAAAGTTAAGAGTTGAAACATCTCGATTTTTCACACCCCATATCTCAGTTATCAGTCCCGCAAGACTTCGAATGTTGTGAACTTCAGCTCTTCAAGAAAAATCCAAGAATGTAATGAAATACATTTGAAAAATCGAAGTTGCTGCTACTTTCTAGTAGAAGAGGCAACGCCAGTTCGTTTCGAATATTTCAGTCGTGTAGACTGTAGATTATGTTAATTCATACATACCATCGAATTTTCAGATTTATCCGTTGCCTGGTTTGCCGAAAACGTCTAATTAACGCTCATCGTGAAAGGCCCTGTATAGTTTTGATGACGGACCTGCAACTATATTTTTTAATAGTCTGGATGGATACAAAGAACGATATGAAACACTCCTCCCAAATGTAATATTCACGTAGACTGAAAAGGAAGTAATAAAACTAGTAAATCTTCGTCTGATTTCACTTTATACCCCAAGATGAGCAAAAATAATATTTTGAGCACTCAATATGAACAGTGGGAATCGTCTGTACATGAATGAAAAGTACATCGTTGAATACACATCTTGATGCTCTCCTCAGATATGGCAAAAAAATTCAAATGTATAGGGTGTTGTTTTTTGGCAGAATAAATTTGTGAATTTCAAGTGAAGCTGGACCTGGATTCTACCTTTTGTTGATGCCTCAATCAATTCCACAGAATAGATTGAGTAATAGTACCAATTAACGAAGAAAATACAGGTTGGTTGGAGAGTTATGAGACAATGAAGATATGGGCAAAATTAATCAAACATATCTCGGTTATAAGATGTCGAAGACCCATTAGCCATGGGTTTTTTGAATTCACCTTATTGGCCCCTATTCGCAGTTGAATTATTCACCTTTCCCAATGAAACACCCTCTATATATCCATAGAATACGTCGGTTTTAGAATAAATTATAACAAAGGTGAAGGTTAATTGGATCAGCGTATACATAATACTGGACCGCTTATCTAATGACATCATAACAACAACTGGAAATCCATCATCCATAGCACTCACCTGATTTTAACTTTTGCTACCACCAGCTTATCCAATGAAATTTCAGGGCAGACAGACACATGCAATTACCATTCATGTGTCGCATCACAATGACTCAATATGAGAGTAGGACAATATGACTAAATGTAACATGCAGTGATGGAGGAAACAATCGAGAGGGTTCGATTCATCTTGTTGAAATTGGTTTAATTAGGTCGCGTAATTTGGATGGAGCTGAAATAAAGATTCCTCTCCATCACCATCACTATATAGAGTGGCCCTTTGGAAACGAAACAGAGGCTCTGTAGGTCGCCAGAACCGGATTATGAAAAAACAATGGAATACGTCTACTACATTTTCGAGGCGGACATCGATCTATAATATTTTCAACGCTGCGGCGTTGCCGCTTATTCTATGGAAAGGTGGCAACAACTTTATTATTCCAACAACCTGTATTTCATTACATTTTCATATCATCCCTGAACACCTGATGTTATCAATGCATATCACACTAGCGGGAATGATTACAGAGATATAGGGTGTTCAAAAAATCGATATTTTTCAAGTTTGGGATTTTTTTTGTGTCGAAACTATTCATCATTTAATTAGAACAAATACAGGGTGATTCAAGATTCAGAATTCTGATCAACCTGTATCTATTCTGTTCCAATCAAATATCAGTATATAAATAGTTGATCAAAAGTTGAAATAGGTACATAATAGTTATTCATTTTACTTGGCAGAAAAGTACAAGATTCAATGCCGCAGCTGGCGTTTCATAGCCTAGGCGTAGCCGAGGTTAAGAAACATAATTTTTCCTCCAAATTCTTTACAATTTCAAGTCCAAATTCCATCATTTTTTGTTCACCCTAAGTAATTGTCAATTTTGAATACCAATTTGATTCAAATTACTTGTAAAGTTGCATAGCAACAAACTTTTTTTGCCTAGGCGGTAAAAGTACACCTTTTCTGCCTGTTAAGTATCATTAAGAATCGACTTTCAATGTTATTTGAAGAAAGGAGCAGCTTTAACCAATAATGAATAGTTTCGACACAAAAACATCCTAAAACTGAAAAGTCACGATTTTCAACACCCTATATCTCTGTAATCATTTCCGTTAAACCCCAAGTATGATCGATGAAATCAGCTCTTCAAGAAGAATCTGAAAATGCAGTGAAATACAGGATGTTCTATTACAAATAACAATGCTGTTGCTACCTTTTGATAGAAGCGGCAACGCCGCAACGCTGAGAATATTTTAAAACGATGCCCCCTCGAAAATGTAGGTGACGTGTTCCAGAGCCACTGTTTAGTTTTCAAAGGGCCACCCTGTACTAAGTGTGTCTTATAATTAGCCAACTTCACCAGCGGCTGCTTCTACGGTCAAAAATAGGGAGAAAGTTCCGATGAACATAAGTTAAAGGGAAGGGAAGATGATATTTCCTGAAAATTTTTGAAAAGTCGTGTGATAAAATGATGCAATTTGGTACAAGAACTGATTTTTTTATGTTCAATGCACTGAAAATAAAAGCATTCCAACATTACATTCTGGAGTATATATTATACAGGGTGGGACTACATTGAACATTACTAATCATATACCTATTATTATGCATGTTTTTTGTTTTTTATTAATCTCGAGTTATCAAAATCCACACCTCTTTACAGAAAAAAGTTCCTTCTCTATGCATGAAATGTATCATTTTCGAGTGAAATCGATTTGAAAATATACTCATGAACATATACATAACATTTATGGACGCAAATAATGTTTTACATGCAATGGAACTTTGTAGTTTCAATTAAAAAGCAGGTAACGATACATGCAAAGTCATCACAAAACATGTTCATATACTGACTGAACAATAATGCAGTGTTGTCAGACGTGATTAGGCGATTAACAAAAAAACAAAAAATTTTTTGATATTAGTGAAACTTATAGCTGAGGTTGGTTTTTTTTCTTTATTCATCGCACTATGTGAACAGAAACATGAAACAAATGGTCATCAGCAATGCGTATCAACTACCAATCAAGTCATAAATTCTATATAAAGTTCCCCTACATATCAGTGGTATCACAGAGAAATTAATACGAAGTGGTTGAGGTCATCAGATGTACTCAATCCTGATCTCTACCGTAATAATTCTGACGCAATTGAACACAACACAAAAATTGTTGATATTAGTGAAACTCAACATGCTAAAGTTGATTTTTTTCTCTATTCATCGAACTATGTGAAAGAAACATGAAACAGATGGTCACCAGCAACTCGTAACAACTACCAATCAAGTAATAAATTCTATATAAACTTCTCTGCATATCAGTGGTATCACAAAGGAAAGTGTACTCATTCCACCACAACTAGCACTAATGAATAAACATGCATCAATATTTTCCTTCCTGTAAACCATCTCATTATTTTATAGGAAAGAACTTTCCTAACTGTCGCCATCAGCCTAGAACTAGCAGTGAGCACAGTGTTCTATATGGCTCGCGCTGTCTTCTTACCCGGTCTACATCCCGACACGATTTTGATCATCTACTGCGTCAGGACGCAGGTATCGCAAACCATGGCGCTGCTGCTCATTTTTGTACCCAAATTCTGGTATCAGCAGAAGCAAGTCAGGAATCTGGCTCAAGAGTATTCTTGCAGGTTACCGGTGGACGCTTTCAAAGTGAGTTGAACGTTGTGTGTTGTAGCAGCAGTAGGGAAAGTCTGGCATAAGCAACCCCCTCCTTTTCTGTATAACATGACTCCTCCCACTGCATAGACATAGGCGTGGCTCTCGTCGATCGCAGGTCAAGCTCTCCATTCAAGCTCTCCATACATAACTTGCTCTCTTTTAGGTCTCTCATCACACACTGCTGTTATGTATCTACTGAGAACGAGTTCGTCAATGTGTATGTCTAGCTCATAGCAATGAGAATTATGCATTTGAGATCAAGATTATCAAGAGCTGAGCCCAAAATTCAGAATCTGCATTCGCTTAGATTTGCCAAACCCGTTTTTAGTAATAATAGTTTTGGGAATTGATAATTATAGTTGAGTTAAATTTGGAAAAAAATACTAGACTGTATGCATATAACTTCGATAGTGACATATTTCTTATGACTTGCAGTGGTCTGCCAAGAATATGAAATATCAACGAATTGTGCATATTTTTCAATGGGGATGAATAATATTCCACTATGTCAAGACTATAAAAGCGGGTACATATAATTTCGAAGTGAACTCTTGAGAGGTTTGTAATTTCATGAATGGAATAATATATTTTACATCCCAAACGAGTGACTCTGGGACATCTGCATATATCTATATCCACTTGAACAAAACGTCAAGAAGATGCTTTCCCTAGTGGCGATGCAAATTCAGCCACTTCATATTTATGTTCTCTGCCGACAACTCAATTTATATTAAATTCTTCATTCATTTTTTCAACAACTCGGTTTCTATTGACGTCGTTATTATCCGCCAGGCAGGCAGGTCTCTGCACATACATCAAAGAAATATGTGCACTGCATACGTAAAAGGCTAATGTTTTATTCAACAGTCATTCCTATTGTGGCCTATCTGCTTTTGAGGTGAACCGTAATGCAAATATTGTACTTATATATCGTTTTTGAATGTGATGTTGCATGTTTGCAATCCTCGAAATAACATCCGTCAGTTCCTGAATTTGGTAGTACTTACATTCATGATATACAGAAGAACCGGGATATTTCATATCTATCCTCGAGAAAGGATATTAGTAGTATAATGTTTTCTACCACCACGATTCTCTTTAATGAGGAACGCGAGCTCTTTAGAATTATATATATTTCAACATCGTCTAGGTCATATGGTTGAGGAGTACTATATCAGGATTTCCAGCATTGATCACTATGAACCTCAACAAAGGCTGTTTCATATTGTATACATTGTATCTCAACTTTCAGTGATTGATTCGAGTCGTCCCCTCGAATTTCAATTATGTGCATCACCAACATGTGATTCACTTCAAGATTGATAACTATTATTGAAATTTGCCAGGACGACTGGTTCGCCACTGAAGGATAACCTATATAGTTTTTGAGACATGCGTGAGACTATTTTTCTAAATCATCCAATATGAATAACGGTAAAGATCATCTAATCTGAATGATGGTGAATACTATTCGAATGATCTGTTTTTTGTGTCCTCTTTGTGCAATGTTTCGTTTTGCCTAGGTGATGCATAAAAGTAACTAGGATTGCTATTTTGTCTCCTGGAACGTAAGCAGCAACCTTTTTTTCCAATATTGTTACTATATACGTACTGAGTGATTCATGATGAACTTTGATGACCCATTTCAGAAATGATTCTCATCCTATTTTTTCTAAATTTGGCAGCAACAATATTTCATTGAAACTATTGTTATATTAAGAATGTTCAATTGTTCACTTTGTGATCACTTATCTCGAAAAATTTTATCAGATTCGAAATGTAAATTTGTATTCAAGTAATAGTGAAATAGTATGGGTCCTGGTTTTCATTGTATGATGTGAAGTGACGTTTGTTGGAAATCAAAACTGATAGGTACTAACTGGTGATTAAAATATTCTTGCGATCAGGATTCCAAACATTTTTCAAATGCTGAATATGACAAAAATACAAATGCTGCAATGTTTAATACCAGACCCAAGCATACTACAAAGCAATAGAACCATCACGAGAGTGAACATTGAGGACATTGAAGGAAGATCAATAAATGCCACCTTATCACTTGCAGAAGTGTATCAAGAACAAACGAATCTCAGTTCACGGGTGATGGTCTGAATAATTTGATAAATCACCATCATACCGTAATTTCACTAGTTGAACCATTGTCGATCTAAATGGAAACCTAGTTAGGTAGTTAGTAGGCGAGAGCATAATATTGTCTGTTCTTTGAAAAAATAAATGAAGACGTTCAGTAGTACAGAGACATCAATGTGAACCAAGTAAACTAAGTTATTCATTTGTCAGACCTAACCGTAACATTTTTCATGGTCCTGTCAAGTTTGTAAATAAAAATCTGTCATGTGGAATCCCGAAAATGAAACATTATCACGAAGGATATTATCAAGTATGAAAACCATCTACCTATACTTGAATGGAAGCAGGAAGATGTTTAGGCAATGCTGTATTAGTATGATTCATGATGCAACTTGAATTTAAGTTGGAACTGTGGAAACTTCGGAAACTCAATAGTGCTATCACACTTTTTCGACATGCAAGCCAAGCAGAAAGGTAGGGGCTGCTTTTTTCCTTCTATATTTTTGATAAGTTACTCTATAATTCGTGAAATTCCATTATTTGCAGTGAAAACATGTCTTTAGTGATGTGAACCATGTACACATCGGAATCACTATATACTTGAAAATTTCAGGTACCTATACCTACAGCGAAGAGTACTTACATTAATAGCTTTTCAGTTGAAAAACGGAAAACTATGAGTGATGTGGAAGTATCACATTAGAAATCATTATGTGAGTAATGTTCAGAAGGAATGTACCAGAAGGATGATGATGTTCCAGAACAGAATGGAAAATTTACCATCTGAAATAAATATATAGAAGCACTAAGGTTAGACTCAATCTGGTTATTTCATCAATGTCTCATGGATATTCTGCTCCAAACACAAAATATCATTATATTTTTTTTAGATAGGTACCTCCTTGAAAGTCGAGCTGCAAAAATATCCAGTTCACAAGATTTTATGAAAAAACACACAAGAAAATGGGGCAGTGAATAAAATCAGAAACTTTTCATCCTGTAGTTCGATGAGCTGAATCCAGATAAGCAGTAAGAACAACGATTTGTTTGCTGGAAATAGCCAGGCATTTCATTCTAGGCTACAAATTATACACACCCCAATGTATATTCAATTTATCCATTTTTCAAGCAATCAATTAGATGATGAGGAACATGTGATATTCCACTCCAGCACACTCAGGACTCGTAGTGAGCCACTCAGAATTTCACTAGAGTAAAGTGATTTCAAGATTGTATAGGAATCATCCTCAGATATATGGTATTCTATTGTTCAGGGTTCTTTGTCAAGATGCTGGGATATTTAGAATTTTTTATTGGAATATAACTTGTATGTATTGTATGAATGGCAATACAATTTAATTTTTTTAATAAATTGTACATAATTATGAAGAATTATTTCAATTTTTATTCTACTATATAGTTTGTTCTCTTCTGATACCCTGTTTATTGTTGTATAGATGTATTGGCAGATAAGTTTGAAAACACTATATATATTGTACAAATATTGTATATAGGTGAAGTATTTTTGAAGTAAAACAATGATTATTTTTTATTAAATCATCTTATTGAAGCTACGAACTTCACTAAATATGAGAAGATGTGTCTATTATTGGCACAAATTAAACCACAGGAATATTCAATACCAATATGTATCTTTTTAATTTATATTTAAGTCAACATTTTCAATGAACTTTATTATTATTTATTATCATTCTATAATATCTGTTCAAATGCCCGTTTCCTCCTCAGATGCTTCTTCATCGTCAGGTCCTGTTCCTTAAGGCAGGAATTCCTCTTCAGCATCATATTCCAAACAACATTGCCGAGTCTGAAAATATAAAAATATTGTCCCTAGTTTCAATGTCCTGTACCATTCTGAAATGAATTTAATGACTTTTGACTATGGAACAACTTTTAGAGGAACCAAAGTCAAGTTCTTGGTGAATTTCATACCGAAACTAATAATTAGTTAGTTAGTATAGGTACAAATTTGTTAAATACCATTTTATTTATATATTTCTACCTTGAACAAACTTGGGACCGTACTCTCTTTCCAAAACCGTTTCCTATTCTCCATTGGCAAGAAACAGTTCCCTTAAAATGTTGGAAACATATAGTATCATGTTCGCTTACTTCAAAAACTCACATTCCTGAAATATAAATATCATTAAGTTCCAAATATTATGTGATTCAAGAAAAAAGTTCACCTTGATATCCAATGAATATGGCGTGAACCCATTGACGCCTCAGGATTTGAGGCTCAAATTCACAACAGTGGGGATTGGGGAAACCATGTCTCGATAATTCAATTACACCTTCACCTCCTGGAGTGCGCAGTTTTCAGATGACATTGCAAAATAACACAATCGCACTCACAAACCAATCAACAAACTCTGATAGAAAACCAATACTAGAAGAAATGATTAGGTATAGGTATAATTGTAATTTCTAAGAAAGGAAATCAAAGTTCAACACATCCACAAAGACGAAGTTATAAGTTAATGACAACTGTCAGAAAATAATTTTATGATTACATGAATCTTCCCCATCGTCTTCCTATCAAATATCACGTCAATGATGGAAAGCACGTCTGTGGTTGAGTACATATTGGAGAAAAATAGAAGAAGAGAATATCAACCTAATATGGTCTATTTTGACAGAAACAAATGAGCTTTTTCCATTTTCAGGATGCCAGCGCCACTTGACAGGCAGACAGATTTTGATTCAAAGAACAGACAATATTGTACCTCCTCGCGTACTAGGTCGCCTACTAGGTTTTCATTTAGATCGACAATGGTTGAACCTAAGCGTTCAGATGATCAACAAACGTCACGTCACGTCACACAATGAAGAACATGGCCGACTATTTCATGTTTTTCTTCAATTAGAAATAATAAAAGAAAGTCACGAATATCAAATATATCAGGTTTCTTCTCAACTACTCTTGCCAGATAACACCGATCTACTTGATAAATGACCGGTTACTTTGGAATATGAAACACTTGAAACGAGTGCTTCAGCAGTACTTCATAAATGACGGTTAAAACGCACTCCTGCATTTATAGTTTGTAGTTCTCCGTCGGATATTTGGAAAGTGCTCGAAAAATTCATACTCCTCAATACGGATTGGCAAGCGCATATACGTTGGTGGCTGAGCGCTCCCATCAATGTTGCATTGAGATTGGTTGCCACTTTAGCACTTCTAAGTCAATAAGTTAATCGCCGGTAATGTGTGTTAGGGCCGGCTGGCGGCCGCCTGGACACCTCGACGCCGAGAAAGTACCGGGAGAGGTGTGCGTTACAAATGCTGGGCCGATGGTTTGTCTTATCTGGGTTACCTGTCAATTCCTAACCAAGAGATATTTGCCAGGTCAAAGTAACAAATTAATTTGAACGTTTTCATTGAACTGGCCAAAAGTATGCCGTGCAAATAGATTTTTTTTGACAAATAAAACATGAATTTTTCCAAGTCTGGATCAACAGTTCTTCTTCAAGATGAATTCTAACAAATCAGGTTGAATCATTTCTGATATATCGGTCATCAAAGTTCTATGGCAGTCTTGGTTATGGATGGTCAAAAAAACTCTTCATATATAATCACCCTGTATATGTTCAATCATAATAATGGGCATGTGGACTGATAATGAATTATTGGCATTCAATTACTCCACTATGTCGTTAGGAACCTGAATTAATTTTTGCAACACTTATTCTTCAATATGTAAATAATGAGTCTATGGGTTGTTCAAAATTGTTGAATTTCAGAGATCTTTTCAAACGAACCGTCGTGGCCACCGTCTGGCGTTACGTCGAATGGTTACGTCAGTTTTCATGCTGTTAAATTATTCGTCAGATAATCTTCCATTCCCACTCATGAAGCAAGGTTATCAAGTCACCAATTATAATCAATTTATCAAAAAGATTCCCGTCTTGACTTGAGAACATTGTACTGAACTGACAAGACCACACCTACAATACTTGCGTCGTGTTGTCACGTTCACTAATTCGAATATCCTCTAGTGTGAAATAATATAATTATTCGCATCCCTTCGTGGTCACTTTGGAGACCTGCAGAACATCTCTTTCCAAAGACTTGTTCATCCAACGAACAGCGAGGCTCTGGAACACATTACCAAGGGAGAAAATCCCCGAGGCATATAACCTCCAGAAATTCAAGAAGAACACCAATTCCTACCTTATTTCCCTTGGTTCTCACGATGTTCTCTGAACATTACTGGATATCCCTTTTCGTGGTAACCAGAACATAAAAAAAAATACAAATTCATTATAAGCAATAAGCCACAAATCATAAGGGAACATTTTGAGACACATGATTTTTTATTGCTTATCAGGAATATTACCAATACATAATGTCCTGGACCAAAAATTGGTATCCTTGGGACGTCCCATCCCGTATGTCTCATGCAATGTTCGAGCAAGGACGTCCACGGAATGTCCCAGCTGGTACATCATATCAAATGTCCTAGAAATAACATCCCTCAGACGTCCTACGTGGTACATATTGTAGAATGTCCATGCAAGGACGTCCTTGGCAAGTCCCTGATGGGATATGATTTTAAACGTTCCTTTAAGGACATCCATCGGATGTCCCGAGTAGTGCATATTCTGGAATGACTTCAGATCTTATATAATGTCGCTTCTAGACAACCATGAAATGTCCCTCTAATGGTACATTCCTTCAAATATCTCTGCTCAGACGCCCTTAATATTTCCAGAATCGTATAACAATCGAAATGTACCTTAGGGATATTCGTCCCAATTGGTACATGAACTGTACTATTCCAATGTCCTAGAAATAACGTCCTATGGACGTCCCAGTCTGTACTTTCAATGTTGTCCCTGCGAGGACGTTAACTTACACCTCGCCGACGAATGATTGCTCGTAGGCTATGAATACTTCCCGTCGATGTCCTTTACGTAAGTCCATTGGACATCCTCGGGAAACTTTTTCAAGATCTATTGGAGACCTTTCACGGACCATCAACTCAACTGGATGTCCTCATCAGTTATGCAAGACCTGGTCCTAAAGGGACCGAGACAAATTCAAATTCAAGAATAATTCATACGTCCCTGGGACATCCTATGGACATCCAATTGATATCCCTCAGCGTTGCTAATAGGTTATCCTACGGATGTACTAAGGATGTACTCCAGTGCGCTTGATGAGGAATACTGTAGGATTTAGGTATTCGATAGTTGTCTCAGGGACATCCCTCAAGGACGTCCCTAGTTGGTCCTCAAGTGAGAAATTTGTGCGTCCCACAGACGTTCAATGGTACCAAATTCGAACGTCCTATTGACGTCCTGAGGATATCCATGGTACATAATCGTGTTATTAGGGTTCTGAAGTTCCCAATCGTATTCCAACACATTGAAAGGTATTTGAGTGATGATTATATTTGAGAAATGGAAAAAATTAGTTCACTTGGCTATTATCGTTATGACAACAGGATGTCAACGCACACGGTCCACTAACGAGCAACAACAGCGACGCTGACGTCGGCGAAATAACTCTGGCAGACATGAGTCCTGACGATATCAGGGCCGAACTGAAGAGGCTATATCTGCAATTGGAAATTTTCAAGAGCAAGACCATCTGTCGTGATAACCCACACATATCGAAACGTAGAGGTGGCAGGAAGGCACAACATAGGAGATTCAGTTTACAGGTATGGAAATAATTATAAATAATGAATAATTATATTGTCATAATTGAAGGTGAATTAAGGCACACCGCTTTTCCATCAATCTGTTGCTTCCGTAGACTGTCAATATTTTTTCATTTATTTAAGGACTTCGATGTCTTTATGCAGTACCTTTTTTAACTTCAAACTCTTCTTCATGATCAGAACAGTTCTCAGCGTACTTATCCCGATGAAAATATTTGTGTTATAACCTCCACTGATCACATTATTAAAATGAGAGTAATTTATTCAAAGTGTTTTCGAATTCTTAGTCTATTGATTATTATCAAGCAAGAGTAGCTAAAATGTTACCATTTATGCAAACCAAATCAACATTAAAAAATGAAAAATACGCTGGTGCAAAAGTCCTTTCCAAGCCATTCAAGATAACCATTGAGAACTTTTTCATATTATATTAGTCACTTTTTTGGGAATTTGGGAACAAGTGAGACCAAGACTCAAAAATAATAGTGAAAAGTAAAAAGGAACACAAAACCGGGAAATGTTTCGAGGTCAGCATCATATGATGTACCAATTCAGGGTCATCTACAAGGTCATCTGCGTACTAGTTCCGCACAACAAGAAAACCTGGTTCATTTAATGTAAAAAGTTCATAGTTGACCAACATTATCGATCATGTCCGCATAAACACAGTGATTGAAAGTAGCAAGTTCCACTTATAATTGATAATTGTAAATTGATAATTGTTAATTGATGCTGCATAAATCCACACTAATTTGACCAGGCAACTAAAATTTTGTAAATGTTCAACCAGATTTTGGAATAATGTGAAGAAATTGTATGTCTGGCTTCTGACAGAATCACGCCTGCGCAATACATACTTTTACTTGTATTTGTCCTTGAGAGATAACAGAGGTGGTCATCTTTAAGCGAATAGTTAATGAAAGAGAAAAGTTGATTCGGGAGCATATATGCCTATATAGCACTAGTACGTCCCCAAAACGTACTGAGAACGTCCGGTCAAGACGTTTCGTACGTACTGGAGACGTCCAGATTTGGTACGGTCGACGTTCAGGTACGTACTGGGGACGTCCAGATTCCGCGCGTTTGTACATCCTCAGTACATCCATTCAGGACCATGGTTACATGAATCAACGTAGATCCGCCTCTTTTCACTCAGATAGTCGAAAAAAAAGATTTAGATAAAGTAGAAAGTCTTATTTTGAATGAAAAAAATTTAAAAAAAACACTTCAACCGGGTATCGATCCCACGACCTTTAGATCACCATGCAGATGCTCAACCCATTACTCTGGAGAACACCTTATTGATTATCAGTATACAACAAGCAATACTATGTGCGAATGCCGATTGACTCATCACATCGATACTTTTATAGACTTAGATAATCACGGCAGAGAATACCTAAATAGATGTTTTGTGACCTGGTGGGGCCAGTAAATAATGAATTTATTGTGAGCATTGTATTATGATTATGTTTGCTAGGTTCCTATATGAATAGATTTCAGAGATCGAGGGTAGAAATTATATATGCAATGATTTCGATTATCATCAAACAATTTATTCGATCCCGTAAACAAAAAGTCGATGACGTCCAGAGTTGAACGTACCCAGTACATCGGAATCGTACGTACCCAGTACGTCCAGAAATGGACGTTTTCAGTACGTCTTGAAAAGGTCCCGGACGTTCAGACCTAATTGGGACCTAAACTGGATGTCTCCAAGACGTCGAGTGCAATATGGGTGATTGAACGGAAATGGCAAGTTCCAACTCATTAGTGAAATCGTTAATGCTTGTGGAACTACCCATATTGCACGACTACGTCGATAACGTCCAGGGTTGGACGTAATCAGTACATCTGAATCGAACGTACCCAGTACGTCTAGAAATGGACGTTTCCAGTACGTCTCGAAGAGGTCCCGGATGTTCAGACCTGAATCGGACCTTAAATGGACGTCCGCAGATCGTCGAGTGCTATATGGGTGCAGATTTGAAAAAGCGGCGTGTATAAATCCGTCTTAAACTAAGTAACACTAATTTCGTCGCACCCCTGTTGAAATATGAATAACTTGAAAACTTTTTTTTCAACTCTGACTCTGAATAAAATCATTTGAGGTCGGCGAAAAAAAAATATAATATGCACCTCGGCGGAAAACTATTGTCTCGCCTGATATTGTTAGCCTTGGCTACGGCCTCGGCTGAAGCCACGGCTATCAAGTTGCAGACTCAACTATAATATACAGTGTTTCGTCCTTGGTACATGAATAACTATTGTTGTTATCAACTCCATTACTTATCCCATATAGTATTCAAGTTTTCACTGGTCACTGTCAAAGTTTTCACTCAGGGTTTCTGATTTGTTCACTCTGTATACTCATAAAAACCTGATGTATATTAATTCACGGCAATATTAATCGATCTCATCATCGTAATAGCTGGTTTTATGTTATTCGATTAGCTGATATTTGCGATGAATGATAAATTTCGACATCCACCAGGTCTCGTTCATTCGATTTAATTCATCAATTTGGTTTTTTTCATGCAGAAAAAGGGGAGTAGAGAGAAGGTAAGTGCATATCCGATTGGTGTATGTCGACTGCACGTTCGATTGGCCTATTTCTATTACACGGAAAGTGTACTTTTAAAATGCTCGATTGAGGTGAAAAAGCGATTAATCTATCTGCACGAATAAATCCGGTGAAAGTACGCTCCACTTCGTCGGAAATTGAGATCGTTCGACGAGTGAGTGTTGGATAATCCAGATATTTTTTTCCGATGAAACACTCCTCTCAGGGCAAAATATACCTATGTTGAACAAATACCTAGAATTTAATAATTGAATCACAATAGAATCGAATATTTTGAACCCACGTACAAAAAATCAGAGGCGGGTTTACCGGTACGCTTATAGTATGCTTAAGCTTAGGGCCCCGAGCACTGCAGGGGCCCCGCAAGGGCCCTTTCATCACATCATTATTTTTCAACATTATTTGTTTCTCTGAATGAAATAATGACGAAAATGTGTTTCATCTGAGCAGTACATATTTTATATAGCAGCAGCGGTAACATTGAAAGTTGCTCAAAAATGTTAAACATCAAAATATAATATATCGTTCATCCGGAAGAAAAGAGTTACATCTCGAAATTTTTTTTCCAGAAGAAGCATTTTGATATTGGTTGAAATTTCAATTGATTTCATCATCATCCATAAACCCTCTGGAGGTCGATATAGTATCAGCTCTCGATAATGAAAAACTGACGGGGAATTAACTGATGTATCTCTCTTGAATCCAAAACTGTCATCATATCTTTATGATTGTCAATGTCACAAAATGGAATCTTGGGTAATAAACGGGATTGAAACTTGATATTTCGTTATTGAAAAAATCTACATTCTTGATAATCTCAATGATAAAATGAGAAACATCAAAACTTATCAGTGAAACTGAACACATTGTTTTCTTTTACAGATTTTCATAAAAATTGTTAAATATCAGCAAAACATTTTTCCTTTTTTATCAAAGAAATCAACCCATTTCTATTCACTTCTGTGATTCCAGGTGTTTTTGAATAGGCGGGCTTGAGATTCATATTCACGATGTCTAGTTTTCTTCTAGTATTCGAAATCAAAGCTTTATCTAACCCTTGCTGGTCGTATGATGTCTTATAAAATGATGGAAACATTGACCTTCCCGTCCCAGGTGGAACAAAACTTCGAATATGAAATTTGTATGGTTTCATATGTATAGAATTTTTTGGTACTTCTCAAATCCTTGAAAAAAGATCCAAAATGAGTTTTTTCAAAATAAAACACCCTGTAACTTCAGTGAAAGATATTTATCTTCTGTCGAAAAATATATCGTTTGCTAACGTTCTCTAAAGTCGTTTTCGAATAAATTCTTGCTGCACTATTGAAATTTTCAGACCATTTTCATAAAAATACCTTACTATTTCGTATCTTTCCTCTACGGAATAACCAATTTTGATTGATAAATCGAAATCGACAAAAAAGTTTTGTATCCATGGCATTTCTGCTGTGTCCACAGCCATCTCAAATGTTATTGGCAACTTCGATTCAATACTAAATAAGTGAAAAATGGCTTGGGGAAACATTAGCAATGAAAATATATGGGTGTTGCATCTGAAAAAACTGATTTGGCAGTATGTACAGATGAAGCTCTACAACTTGTTTGACATTTTGTTCCACCTCGAAGAGTTAAATTTGTATTCTAGGTTTTCCAAATGTGAATAAAATATGAATAATTTTTTTGCACCTCTGTCGGAACTGTTCCGATAGGGCATTCACCATTCACCATAACAAAGAATGATTGAATATCGGCTATAAATCTATTTAGAGTTATCAGTAGCCAACTATAGATCATTTACATATCAGAAGTATATGGAAGTTTTTCTGCTGTGACTGATTCTTTTCTCAAACCTTTCATCCAGACATTTTCAATGAATAAGTGGAGAAATGAGAACAATCTGTTCGTAGGTCAAGTGTTCAAACATCTACATAGACGAATAGAGAGGTTATTATTCAAATTACATGATTACATGAATTAAGTACACGTTATTTGAATCATGACGAAGTTCTGACGCAAACCCGATACTGGAGAATTTGCGAACAAAAGATTTGCATAGTTATTAGTTATTCGCTTTATTATCTATTGATGTCTTGATTTGATTTGTGTCCTGTTTGAGTTGAAAATTGTCGGAGATGAGGAGGATAACTATCAAGATGACCTTTCGATACAAGAAACGTCTAGACAGCCATTGTATCTTTATTGTTTTGTCCTGATGGGAGAAAAATAAAACGCAACGAAAATAATACACGAAGAAAATAATAGATTGAAAATGTTTCAACAGTTCTAACAGTCATTGCAATTTGGTTATTTTGTTGTCAAATGACACAAAACATTCAATCATGTCAACATCTAACTGATATAACAACAATCAATGTTATTTTCAATCACAATGGCAGGAAGATGTATTTTCTGACCAGATATTCCGAGAGATAATCCTTTGATTTTATGAAAAATTTCTCGAGAACAACCTGCTGCGTCGGGATGTTATACATATACCTTCCAATATTAATAAAATAAGGAAGTTTCCAATATTCATACTTTCATTTCCTCATGATCTTCACAAAAATCATTGTGTAGGAATTTCAATTTTTTTTCGAAGACTCTACTCCAGGAAATATTCAAAGATTTGATTCTTGCTTCTTATCATTCTGCGGTCGTCATTGAGCCATATCTTTATGGCACTCACAAAGATAACACTATGAAAAGTATGAATCAAATCATTCACGAAATGATCAAGATGAAACTATGATTTTTTTGCAAATATTCGGATAATAGATCAAAAGTCACCAATTCATCCCGTTATACTTCTTTATTTTTCGCACTTAGTGGTGAACACTATATTCTTGGTCATTGATTGGAGGTGGATTCATGCGAGTAAAATTTAAAACTTAAATGAATTTTAAACTTAAACCAATAATATGAAAATATGAAATGTAATGTAGATGCTCATGCAAGAAACTAACAAATCAAAACTTAAATCAAAACAAAGAAAGATGTCCAACATTCAACTAAGAAATTATTTGTATAATTCACGACAACGCATGCGCCAAATAATAACTAGCCGCGCTGGAAGAAGATCAAACAGGTTACACCATTATATTTTTAATTTGAAATTCGTTTAAATCCTAAATTCATTATAATTTAGTTGATGTTGCATAAATCCATCTTTAGTCTCAATTAATTGTTATATCGTAGTGGACTATGGAAGGGCTGAAAAATTATCAAATAATTCTAACACGCGAAATGCGTCATAAAGGTAGTGACATTAAGGTTTCCCCTTTTGATTAATAATTCACGCTAATTTGGCTTGGTTTATTCCACGCTAATTTCGCGTGAAGCAATTTCTCATGATGAATCCCTTATAATCCTAGGACTTGAGAACTGTGGGCGGTAAAGTGCACTTTATGGCCCGTGGGCGATAATGGGCCCGCGGGCGGTAAAGTACCACTTTACGCCCGCAAATCTGGGCGATAAAGTGTACTTTACCGCACGCTAGTGCACAAAGATATATAGAGATATATGGTAGGTACACTATTGAGAAAAAGTACTACCTATTTTTATTGCGCATTACGCAGCAGCCTTTTGAAATCGATTTATCTTGAAAATGGTGAGGGCTGTCGAAACTGAACAGGAGTACTGTATTTGAGTTGAAATTATGATATGCTCATATTTCCTGGCCAAACAGTCGGAAATTACATAAACAAAGAAGTTGGGGGAAGAAGTGCCCCTAGCCCCACCTATACCCCACACCCCTAATCAAAATTTCGGAATATTCTCAACATTTTTGAATTTGGCATGAAAAGTTAGGTATATGTAAAAATTTGGTTAATTTATCAGAGAGGGTGTCAAAAATATTTTCTGAAAAGCATCATCTCGCGTGCTCTCCTTCAGATGGCTATAACCCCCAAGAGGGGCATTTCTGGACCCATGAATTTTTTTACTTCACGGTTCACAGATGTAGTTAAAAATTATATATAGGATTTCCAATTACATTAGAACGATATGCCCTCGAACCAGTCGACCACAACAGATCAACAGATATAGGTACGCGATGGATGATCAATTATTATTCAACTATACGACTGTTTCCCCTCTTGCAGACAGTTTACCACGTATCTTCTCTGTTCCGTTCGTATTTCAATACGGGAGTGAAAAAAAACTAATTTTTCTGCAACCGACACAAAAGTCGTTCATTTTGATACCAAAATTAGCTCTTAAATTGACGTTTCTATTACTGACACAAAAATAGGTATGTTGCTAGGCAACATATTTAGTTCCTAGGAGCTGAAGTTGAATTTTAGTTCCTAGGAGCTAAAGTTGAACTTTAGCTCCTAGGAACTAAAAAGAATGTACTGGACGAAATCAAGAATAAACAACATTGTGACGGTTGGTTATTTGGGTTGAGACGCATACCTGATTTGTTTCCGATATCAGCAGATTTGGCATTTCATACCCATGCTGGAGATATAAATACACCTTATTATAGTTTAGTATTGGAATTATAAACATCTCAGCTAAGTATTCTTGTTTGATCAGGGAAGCCTTCAAGATACAAATACTTGCTTGATCTGTATTTCATTCGTTATTCTCGGGATGGATAACTTGTTTCTGAATAATCACGGCAAGCAATAGTTTTTTGTCTCAAACAACGATATTGTTCAGCTTCATTTGATCATCAAACACAGTGTAGTATGGAGAGGAATAAATAATCACTATTATCATTGTTGATATGCTCACTAACCTAACATTTTCCACGTCTTGTTCCTATAGCTGGCACTGGCGCGGTATTTGCCATTGGAGCACCTGGTCCATACACAAATATGTCACTTTGTGGTTGTATTTATATTATTGAAACAATATTGAAACTACAATTCAAACATCCTTGAAAAGCTAACCTGCTGTTAATGCAGGTAAAATATTCTTACCACATGGTTTATTTGTCAATATTTGTTGCATTGCATACCTACATATGGCACGGCATTGGTGGTTACTTCACATGTTCATTTGTGTTGATTGTTTCGGTTGCAGAAAAAATAGCATGTCTCATTCGGATCAAAAGTGACTTTGTTCGACTCGCAAATTTTGCTCTCGCTCGGCTTCGCTAAACGCTCCGCCTCGCAAATGCAAAATTCGCTTGTCAAACAAAGTGTCACTTTTGATCCTAATAACTATTCTGGCGAATTCTAAAAGAGAAGAAAACATTCAAATTCTGAAATGGTATAAGTAGGTATTTGTTACATTTGTTGCTGCAAATATTTTTTCTGGGCAATGAGCCTTCTTCTTGCTGATAGCTGAGGCTGAGGCGCGTTCTAGCTACCTACGAAGTGGTGAATCAATCTAGAGTAGTCCAGTTGGATTGGTACTTCATCCATTCCGCACCGCACGTGTGTATCTGTTAAATTTCGAGCTGGTCGACTGGTTTTAGGACAACTCGTTCAAATTCATTGGAAATTCGTTATGCTGGCAAATTTTTTCGACTGTATATTTTCATTCGATATTCTATTTTCAACCAACTGAAGAGGGCGGATTCGAAAGTAAGTGTTTGAATAGCTCCATATTATCCCTGTTGATCCCCATTTGAGTTCTGGAAGTCCATCATATCCTGTACTGAAATCAAACAACTAACTAATTTGTACAGGGTACCTTATAGACAAAATGAACCTCGAATAGATTCTTGATATGCTAGAAATATACTGAACGATTTTGACAATAAGATATAGGTAAATTGTTTCCTAAGTCAACTGATTCAGCAAGTCCAAACCTAAACTACGACCATTTGAGGTTCGAACGGACCGGCTCGTGAAGGTATTTGTTTCTCGAGGCGCGCTCTACCTTTGGAACGACTATACTTACCTTATACAGTGAGGAGACGTTAACTGGAATAAATTCGTCAGCAAGGAGGTGAATATTTTTTATGGAAATTCCCGACGTCAACGATTTAATGTTTACCTGCTCTTTGCAAGCAATATCGAGAATATATCCTTCCAAGGGTAGATGAAACCACCCTCAACATGATATTTCCAAATGTAACCCTATGGCTTGTGACCCTTCATTGGAAAGCTGGTGGAAAGAGGAATGCAGCATACTTGTCAAATTTCAGTTTTTCATACAATGATGGCAATTTTTCGCTACAACTGGTATCTGCTATCGTATTCCAGTTTTTTATAGAGCCGCAAAAATAAATTCAGTTTTTTTGCTGTATTCACAGTTCGAAACGAACTGGTGGAAGTGTCCTATATCGCTGTCACTATAAGTCGATTTTTTTTATGAAAATACGTTGAAAATATATCAAACTTATTTCGATTTCATGCGACCCCCAAGCGAACTACGAACTGAAATATGATCAGTACGCTGGATTCCTCTTTCAACCAGCTTTCCAATGAGAGGTCGCAAGCCATAAGGTTGCATTTGATAAAAACAAGTCGAGTTAGATTCCTGCTACCCCTGAAGAGTTATATTCTTCATATTGTTCACCAAATGAAGGTGAATACATTCAAACATTGACGTGTCTCGCTAATTTTCAGGAAATTCATTCACTCCCGCAGTAGCGAATGTATTCCAGTTAAAGTCTTCACCCTGTAGATTATTCTTCAGTTAGCTTATGATTATTCACTTGTATACAGGGTATCCGGGAAGGTCATATCGTAAATGATAGGGCTGATAGAGTGAGTTAGAATAAGAAAACTGAATTTCATGTTTAACATTCAAACGGTTGCGAAAGTATCAATATTATTCGGGCAGGTAAATAAACTCATACGAATGCTCCTTTTCATACGTAAACGACTTCTTAGTGAATATGGTTTATACAGGATGGGACAAGTTTTTTCCGTTTAATGAAGACATTTTTGACACAGCTGACATCTAATTCCACATTTTGCTTCCACCGATAGGTTCCTCCACCTTTTATCTAATAATATGGTCAATTTTATCTCAATCGATATCTTGTACCGTTCTAGAGAAAATCGCATTTCGAAACATACATTCCAACCGTTTCAGAGGTAATGAAAGCTCCATAATTCCTTAAGACTTGTGCAGATGTAAGAATTCTATTCGAATGCTCATCACTAATATCTATTGGTCTCTTATGGTCTAAACATTCAAGATAGCTCCAAAGAAAAAATCAAGTAGATTAAGATCCGGTCAACGAGGTGGCCATGGAAAAGGACCATGGGGAAATGTGATGTTCAAATGATCTCTTACAGCTTTGTCGAAATGAGGAGGCGCACCATCGTGCATCAGTCACATATCACCTAGAATATTCAAAAGAACCTCTTTTAACAACGGACCTGGATGTTCCATCAATGACATAAGATCCATAATTGAGCAGTTGCCAATTAGTCCTTTCCATGTTTTGGTGATAAATGGAGTTTTATCACCTTTGAAAGGGTTGGGATGTATGTTTTTGAATGCGATATTTCTCTAGATCGGTACAAGATATCGATTGAAATGAGGTATACCATTTTTGTTGAAAAAATATGTAGGGATCAAACAGTGAAAGCAAAATATCAAATTTGTCACCTCTTTCAAAAATGTTTTCATTAAACGGAAAAAATTCTTCCCATCTTGTATTAAACATAATCATTGATGAGCCGTTTACGTTTGGAAAAGTGCTTTAGTATGAGTTCATTTACCTTCCCAAATATCATTGACAATATGGTAAACGTTTGAAAAGTTATACATGGAATCAATTTTTTGTAATCTAACTAACTCAAGGTCAATAACTCCGTTGCGAAGCGCGATAGACATATTTTATAAATGAAGTTCTAACATTATTTCAGCTCTTTCATTTACGACATGACCTTTCCGAACACCCTTTATGCATAATATCCATTATGAGTGATGAAGATTTGAATTATGCCGAAGTGAGAAAATAATTCTCAATTGAGGATCGAATTCAGGATTCTTCAAATAAAAAAAAGTTTTTCCTCAATGTTGGAAGTTCTTGTTTTTTTCTATCTTCTTACTCAACTAGACTGAATATTACAGAAGCCGATGTAAACCTCGGTAGGCCGTAAAAGCCATAGAATTTCGTATTTCATTCAATATTATGGATTCAGAGCTTTTTTTCTGCCCGTACTGTGTCTTCTGAGTCAAACGACATCATATTCCACAATCTAAATTAATTGATTTACTAGATTCGTATTGAAATGTGAATCATTTAACGAATAGTCTTGATCACTAAATGTTCTGTGTGTAGAGGAGTGCATGAAATTATTTAGTATCGATAAATAATAGATTTATACCTACAGATAGAGCCAGAATAATTGACTATATTGATAAATTATTTGCAGAATTTACATGGGAAGCATCGGGATAAAGAACGTCAGAAGCTGCAAGAAGAAGTGACCGAAGTAGAAGTGTCAAGAACGCCAGAGGACTCTGTATGTAGCAACGAAGGCCCTAGCGCCATCTACGCCGATTTACCATCTTCGACCAACCCTAGCGATCACAAATAAATGTCCAAAGAACTAAGATCCAAAGATGATAGACCAAACCAGCGATTTAGGTTCATAGACTTGATTCATATTGCATCATTCTGTAGGATAGGAAAATTATGTCAACACTAAACTTGAGAATTGATTCAGTGAACAAATTGTGGAGGGATTTATTGCGTCACATTTCCAACCACGTGATCGCCCAAGCACCCAAAAGCCATTTTCCAGTTCCTCATCGTCGACGGAACCGCAAAACCAAGTAACTGACAAAAATTGGAAAATGAGATTCTGGCGGCAATCACTCGATTGTATTGGTATGGACGCGTATGCAAAACCTCTTAACAAAAAATTCTAAATATTTCAAAATCCATAAATACAAAACCCCTGTGTTCAATTACTAAATCTCTGCTAATTGGTGAGTTAATTTCTATAGAACAAATATGTAAAACATTGTATTCTTATTGTTCCCAATTTCAGGATAATACGAATTTATCATAAGTATTTGTTAAACGGACAATCTAGGAACATGAACTCACGTGTTTTTGCGAGTTACCCATTCTGAATTATTGTTCCTTGTTTTTACGCACAGAAGCACGTGAAAAACCAAGAATCTACTCTGAAAACAATACAATTTTCTCAATTATTAATGTACAAACGTAAGGATAATAATAATCAAGCGGTTTGTGTGTATTTACTATTGAATCTGATCAGTTAACCCACAATTTTTTCGTTTTGTTCCTCCTGAAAAATCTGGTTTTTGCAATTACTTGGTTTTGCGTTGTCGTCGACGTTATATAATCCTTGGAAGATTCCTCAATTTGTTTGTCACAATTGAAGTACTTCATCTCACGAATGTGTGGAATGTATTCAATTTCAATTTTGTTTTTTCATCTCTTGGAGCGCATGAAAGGGACTTTCTATGATACTTCATATATTGTCCAGAATGGGTTTCATTATTTTCTAAACACGAGTACAGCCGATTTTAAAACAATCCCCTGATGTTTCGAACAATCTCAGGTGAAATACCTCTATATTCAACAAATTTGTTCAAATGTATGGATGTGACTGATCAGTGATTGCGAACCGTTTTGAAAATTCCATCAAATGTGAGATCATATGTACTCCAATGTTGACAAAAATGATATGGTATTCAACTAGAATTACATGAGGAGCTCGAGCCATTAAACATATTAGGGGTAGGTGCCCCCTGGAGGTCACCAGGAGGTTGAAATTAATACAACAACAAACGCTTCAACAGTTTCCTTGTTTGATATGTAAGTTAACATGTTTCGCCAAATTAAGAAATTTCAAATGCTGTTCGTTATCAAATCGACACTTTGTATATGTTCTCAGAAGGAGTGGAACTACATCAAGGTTGCAGTTGTTTTCTTGAAGTGGCCAAGTTACAGAGATGACATTTATTATGGCTCATGCATTCTCAAGCAGGAAGTGTTGCTGTATACGAACAGGAATATAAAGAGAGAAGTCGGTTTTTAATATCAGGAGTAAAACAGTCGACATATACTTCTAACAAGGAGAAGGAACGAAACTTATTTCTTATACATCTTCGGGCCTTGAAACTGTCATTTCTCACATTCAAAATGATTATTAATATATTTCTCGATGTACCATTTATGTTACTAATCAGCTGTCTAATTCAAAACAACAGAACTTAGTATTATTCATAATAAAATCCATAATTTCTGAAAATAAAGCGAATTCAAAAACGAAATACCCTCAAAATCTTAAGAGTATCGGAACTGCCAAATACAAAAGTCCACGCTGAATTTTGTCGTACTGATGAATGTGAAGTTATCATCTTCAATGAAATTATTTATCATTAGCGATCACGTGATTGCTTACAATATGCAGATGTCATTCAGAATCTTGTCGTTCATAGAAATTTCAATTCTCGTTTTCGTGGAATGAATGAGCCGTCAAAACAGGATTTTCTATAGATATTCGGACATACAAATAATAATTTTTGTTTCCTTCTATCCGAATAGGTTCAGATACTTGTATGTACAATATTCCAGGAACAAAGTTTTTCAGCTAGTCATTTTTGTCAGTTATATATAGATATGTTCAGTTCCAGAAATTTCTACGAATGTTTGTATTCAATTGTAACCCTAGCTTGTTTCTTATGATAGAAAGATTCCTTCGAATTTTTGACTACATTCGATTCAAAGTAGATTCATAGAATATACTGACAGTTATTTTCAACCCTATAGATCATGATGAAAAAGAGTAATAATACCAGTGTTTCTAGTCATAGCTGTAGAGAAAACATGTTCTGTGATGGATATTTCCATCGATATTTCGTAAATTTTTGTGTCAAGATCAAACGTTTCTTCTATTTTGCGTTTTGAACAAAGTTATTGTAGATCCTAAATACGTTTCGAGGCCGGTTTTATATTGATAGTCACGCAATATCTTTTTTTTATAAATTAATATGAATCAGGGAGTGAATTACGAGATAACGGAATTCAGTGCAAATAAGACTCAACAGTCATCTGCACTTATCACAGAAAGTCGGAGATTGATCAAATATCCTATATATGAACCCCCCCTCAGTTGTCTTGTGACTCACTGAATATTTCCTATTTCGGTACTCCACTATCTATTTTTTTTTACATTGATGAATCAGAGACACAACGGAATATACTGCACACCACACAGAAAGTCGGAGAGTGATACCATAGATTACAGAAGATAAACTAGTCATTCAGTAATCTTTGGTGATACCTATCGAATATCCTATATGTCTAGAATCCCCCAATTTTCGTGTCACTCACTGAATATTTCCTATTTCTGTACTTCACTAACTCATTGTGGAAGATATCTGACTTTGCTGATCAAGTGATCATACCTTTTTATAGCCCCCCCCCCCCTAATCAACCTCTTGGTCCGCCCGTGTGGGAACCGAAAGAAAGTGGCACCGCGTTTTCAAATAATTTGCTCCAGAATATCATTTCCTCAAACACTGTTGCTAACTCTAGTTACTAAAACATATATCTAGCCATCACCAATTTTTTCTAACTGCTGATTGAATCTAAACTCATAAGCCGAGATAATATTAATTTATGTATCAAGGGCGTAAAATAGTATTTTATGGATCGCAGCGTGTAAGTAGCGAGGGCCTAGGTCCATAAAAGCAAGTTACGCCCGAAATACATTCATAATTTTATGGACGACCGGTATATTAGATTTTTCATTGTGAATATCTCTTCACCTATCTCGGAACGATAGAAATTCATCATGGCTACAGTGAGGAATTTCATTGATGGAATCGACGCTACCATGGTAACTCTGTCAATTTTTCGAAAAAGTAGTATATAGAATGAGATGTATATATAAAGAGAACTGGAATATTATATAAGGATTAAGGAATGATCACAAATGAAACATGAATGTCCTGAATTGTACAGCAATGCCTATCACGAGTTACCTATACGCCTGGCAGTAAAGTAGTCCGCGGGCGGTAAAGTAATACTCGATTCGATACAAATGGTTGATAATATTTAAAATTGAATCGACATGGAATGGAATTGGCTAAAATAAGTCTTGACCTGTGATGGCGGACTCATTTATGGCTATTCCTAGCTTTTATTGAAGGGTTGTCTAAAGTTATCTCTGCAACTCACGTGTTGGCAAGACTGATTACAGCTTTAACCTCGGGTATGGAGCATCTTTCGATCCCCGCTTTGACTATATCTACTGAGTGTTGATAGTAGCTGTCAATCCATTCTTCAACGTTTTTAACAAACATCCTGTTGATAGCAATACCTATACAGCTGGTGATGTTCGAATTAGTTCCATAGTTCCATAGTTCCCTATATATAGAAATCAACCATCAACAAGGATTATAATAGGTATAATACAACCGCATTGAGTTATATTCTTACATGTTAATCAAAGTACCATTGTGATTGTAGATTCCATCGTATTTCAAAAGTTTGTACCTACATTCTAACCAATATATTATTTTGCAATTTCAGTGTACTTAGCTATAATTATTATGCCCTGATGTATTATTGTTGTTCAAAATCTATATATGTATATTACTTGGACTGATGAGCGTTCTTCTCTAATTCTATTACCAGAATAAACATTACCGTTTTCTCGAGTCCTTTCAATTTAAACTACATATATCAATGATGCATTTTTGAAATTTCTGTAAGAGTTGTCTCCTAAAATCCTAAATTATTGCAACAGCCTCAGTGCCATCCTGGGAAGGAGATATTTGTCATGAATGTTAAGAATTAATGATTGCTTTCATATTATTGTCAGCAAGGAATCAAGATTTTGATCCTATAGTTATTAAAATGGTATGGGACCAACTATAGCCCTTCAATAAACAAATATATATTGAAACATTCAAATATAGTATATGTATTTAATACAGCAAATATTGATGTGACCACAAAAATATTTCTTTCAATCTTACCAAGTTCTTCAATTCAATAGAATATTCCAAATTCCACTTCCTAACTCCATTATCAACCTCGAGATGTTTTTAAATTCAATGGCGATCGTTGATGTACTTATATGTAGAAAATTATATGAATATCAAAAGTAATTTGAGATTTTCTGAGAAACGGTGAAAATGTAATCGATAGATAATCACGTTGAATATATATTACTGAAACGTATATATATAATGCTATCTTCATGATATAGGCAAATTGAAAACATTGAAAGTCAATCAGTAATACGTACCTATTTTTAACCCACTGTATGGGCACAGTTTAAGGAATGGATTCCTTAAACTGTGGTAAGGGTGAATAAACGTTTGATCAAGTAACGTACATGTGCCCATTGCCACCAGAAATAAAAATAATTCCAAGATATATTTTATTGTGTTGAAGTTGAGGATATGTATTGATGCGCACAATATATCCCTGCTTTCTATTGAGTTTTTTGTATAGCAATGTATTTTTTATTTTTGATAAACGCTGTAGAGCTTTACAGGATACAAAGATGACATATGGTTTAGTTTACTTTCTACAATATTTCAGTTCAATAGAATATATGGTTCAGTTTACTTTTTACAATATTTCAGTCCGATAGAATATATAGTTTAGTTTACTTTTTACAATATTTGAGTCCAATAGAATATATAGTTTAGTTCACTTTTTACAATATTTGAGTCCAATAGAATATATAGTTTAGTTCACTTTTTTACACGATGTTCCTGACCAATTGTCGGTGGTCATTGCCAATTATGTATTGCTTGAATGAAAAAACTTCAGCAGGCAAACTTCAAATTTTTGAAATGAACTATGAAACGCTAGATAAGTTGAGGGTTCTTACGAAATATCAAAAGAATTTAGTGACGAATCGGGTCCAATATAAATTATTACCCTGCCGATAATTTCAAAGGAATAGTATTCACTTCAAATCAAAGAGATCCTCATGATTATTTGTACTATAATATACATTCGAATTCAAAATTCTGGAGAATATTCCATAACGAAATCGAAATGAAATCTATTTGAGTTCGGTTCATAGGAAGATGAAGAAACTGTAGTTCTTTTCTATCTTACTAGGTATTTTTCTGGGCTCAACTGTTGAACTAGTCGATTTCGATTTTCAAACTGTAAGAATAAAACAAAAGGGAAAATGATTGTAGTT